GCGCATACCAACACGTAAAGGTTATGATGAGATATGTATTTTGAGTACGGTAAAAACAGGCCTTAAGCCAAACATACATATGCATGTTTACATACGCATACAAAGTTGATTGTAGCGTTGAAATTATTAAGAAGAAGGGCATTAATATTTACGTTTGCTAAAAAACAAGGCGCGGTTTACAAAAGTGTAAATAAATTATTACAAAATAGTATAAATTTTTTCGTTTCATATGAAATGATCTCCGGCAATAAGATAAGAAAAAATTAATAAGGCTATGTGTGAATATATTTTATATCCCACCATTTCAAAGATATATATATATATATATATATATATATAGAGGATTTCTTTATCACTTATTAATGTTATGGACGTGTTAGTACCACTCTAACGAATCGTAAATGACTACACTTTAGCTGTTATGTGCTAACGAGTGTCAGGATTCTTCTTTAGCAAAAGCAGGCGGTTCACGCCCATTCTTAACTTCTGATCCAAGGAGCTTAAGGACAAAAAACAAATTTCTTAAAAGTTCCAAGTTTCAGTAAACTATAGGGGACGAGACTAGAGGACATAGACTCCCTTCCCTTTCCCTTTATCTGTAAAAAAGTAACTTAAGTTTTGATCCATGGACCTTAAGGACCTAAGAATAAAATTTCTTAAAAGTTCCAAGTTTCAGTAAACTATAGGGGACGAGACTAGAGGACATAGACTTCCTTCCCTTTCCCTTTATCTTTAAAAGAAGTAACTTAAGCTCTGATCCAAGGACGTAAGGATAAAATATCTTAAAAGTTCCAAGCTTCAGTAAACTATAGGGGACGACGAGACGAGAGGACTTAGGATAGGCTTGATTTAATCAGACAATATAAGTTTTACGGGGTTAGTTGGGTAGTATTTCTGAATGTTACAAGTGGCCTATATATATATATATATCTTGTAGCCCCTTCATCTATAAGAAAGAAACATTTGCTTGGCGTTAAATCTCAGACACGTATTGCCTAACAAAACGGAGCAGAAGAGCATAACGCGAAGTGTTGAATAATCTTATTTTACTAACTCTTTGCATGTATTCTTAATAACCGTTACAAAGAAAACGATAAAACTACTACGCCAACTAACATTCTTCGTTGATGAGTATAAAAAAGAATGAAAATATTTTTTTGACAGAAAAAAAAAAATAAATAACTAATAAAACCATTAAACGAACAAGTGCTTTAAAATTAACTGGAACAGAAACGAAGGTGTGCCGCAATCTTTCTGTCTCAGTTTTTTCAAATACACAAAAGCAATTATATAAAGATTATTATAAAATAACAAAGAAACGCTAAAAACACCACCTCTTCCTTTAAAGAAATTTGATAATTTCAACAACATTTTTTTTACAATAAAATTAAAATAAAAAAAAAAAAAGTAAACAAATAAATTAAATCATGAATTGTTTTAAATTCATTGTAAGAACGGATTTCCGTTCTTAATTCAAGAGGCGTGGTCAATGTTCTTCTTGTATTCAAAAACCAATTTCTATTAAATACCAAAGCATTTTGAATACAAAAAAAAAAAAAATAAAGCACTTGAAATTGATCTGGTCTGAGAGTTTTATAAATAACAAATGAAAAAATAATGAGAATCATCTAAATTAAGCATCGCATCATACAAGAATCCCTTAATAGCACCCTTGAGTAGCGAGACAAAAGAAGGACTTGCAATTCGCGCACAGAGCAATAAAAGAATTCTTTAGCTGGCATTTTTGAAAAGCTTTTTATATTTATACTAATTCTGACACACACACACACACACACACAGGTTGATTGAATAAATAAGTGCACGTATATACCGTCTGATTTTATTAAAATGATATTAAAATTTTACAGTATTTTCCGCTTAACAATGTCACGAGCCTTCATGTCTTCAAGTCGTATAAAAGAAAGCTTCTTTTATATGTGAAATTTTTTTTAAGTAAACAAATTGCGGCTAAATGCATATCTGTATCGCTTAATATTTCTAAAGTACAAGTTGTTTCTAATTATACCTTACATCACCAGTACAAGAATATATATTATTTATTTGCGGATGTGTGCAACACCCAGAAGAACTTGAGATAAATCCACGTATTATTATACCGAAGCTTGGCTGTCCGTTAGTGTGTCTTGTCTTCTTATATTCAACCTATAAACCGCAAACTTTTCAAATATTTCGATCAAATTTGTCACGGAGGCGAAGCCTATCTAACATCCCGCGATTTTGGGAGCAACCACAGCCATCACGAGACTCCCCTAAGGGCCTAAGGGCCGTCCCAGCGGTCAGGTAGAGGACCCACACTACGAGGATTCCGCTGCACCAAAAACAGCAGCCAGCAATTCCTCGCAGAGAGGATCCTCTTTTTTAGAGAGCAAGAAGAGCATTAAGTTGGTCATGCCTAAGGCAGTGGTGACTCCATTCTGAAAAGGAAAGCATGATCAATCGTATACTTTAAGCCATCTGCTGAATATACTTTGGCTTAATTGTTTGTATATTTATGGTAATGGTTAGCCTTCTCCTCATCGTGCTTATGCTTCGAATGTTGAAAAGTATTCTTTATTCACGATGCTACAGCATTAACCTACGAATTAAGCAAAAAAAGTCATCTTTCCCGCGAATGCTTCGCATCGCATTTAATCCGTAGAAAGATCTATTAATTATATCGTTACGTAAGGTAGAAAAGCAGCAAGCCCTAGCCATATTTACACTCTGTCTGTTGGGAAATATCGCGAACTTATTCAAATTATCTTTTTACAAACATTATTATGAGGAAGACGTTGGCTTCGAAACTTCAGTAAAAAAATGGATATTATTCCACTGCAGTAGGTAATGTGTTCTCGTCAATGCCACGCTTTCGGCTTTTGGAGAAACCCTAACCAATAACGTTCGGCAATGTCGACATTTCTGTTTTAATTCGACAATACCGTCGCGCCACACATTATTTGCAGATTTTCTCAGCACACACCAATGGCAATAAATTCGATTCCGTATTATTAAGCAATGTACGTAATTGATCCTTATTCATCTGCAAATCCTATTCCAAGGTGTACAACGCACCAATTGTATGCTGCAATGTCGATATTAACGATGAAAAGTTCGTTGCGTCATATGAAGGATAATAAAAAAGAAGGAAGAAGGGGAATAAAAAAGATTTTCTCATCGCGCTAAAGTTATACAATTTTCATGTAATGGCTTTAGGGAGCGCAACAACATGTAACAATTTACTGTGTTTTGCTTTCATTTGGTAACTATGTGATTCAGGATTGTTTTAGACATCGATATATTAAATGGAAACTTAAATTTTATATAAATTTTGTCAAGCTTACGCAAGACGACTAGTCATCTACTAGTTCGCAAATTCTCAGTTAATCAAACCATAAAATATATCGGCATTGAAAAATTGCAAATAATATTAAGTACTGCATATAGTATTTACTAAGTTCAACTCAAAATTTAAAGAGAGACTGCTTAGGATTAAGATGTCAACAAACACACATCAAGTAGTGGGTCCTAACTTCTCTTCTCCGTATTTTTGTAAAAACACTTTCGTTGAGTTAACTGTGTATGAGAAATATATACATCATGATCCGTCCATCCGTCCTTGTGGGATTTCTTTATAAAATTTTATCATTATGAATATATATATACCATAATAATCCATTGTATTCATATTGTCAAGTCATTTCATTACAACCTAATTCGCTAAAAAGGTCAGGGACAAACTTAATTGATTAAGGAAAATTATCTGTCGATTGTTCATTCTTCGTGCTAACAACAACAAATAGCTTTTAAAGCATCATCATATTCTGGAGAAATTTCGAAAATTATTAGAACCTGGAACCATGGTCGCTTCCGGGATATTTCAACAGCAATGAAAGGATGGTTTTCGAGTTCACCAGACATAGCTCTCTCTCTCTCTCTCTCTCTCTCTCTCTCCCTGTCTCATTCTTAATCTTTCCAAAGTGTGGTGTACAGAAAGGAAAATTTTCGTTCCCCACCTTACTTTAGGTTTAGGTGCTTGAACAAATATAAAGACAGTTAAAGGGAAAGTACTGTAAGCGTCCTGAGCTACTTAACAAAGAAGTGTTTTTTTGTTTTTTTTTTGAAGTAATTTTACTTTTCTACTCATAATAATTTATATTTTATTGTTAAGCATTTGTCATATTCTTCTCTAGTTTAACATACGCATCATATACATCTGATAACTAACTAAGACCCCGTCTCGTAATAACAGCAGCAACAGCACTAATAGCAGCAACAGCACTAGCAGCAATAACAATCACTCAGTAAACACTTGAAATATGATTTAAATCAAGAGAATATAAAAGAAAAGAAGAAGAAAAAAAAAAAGAAGCGAAATAAAAAACACAAAAATTCAATTTTCATTGTTGTCCTTTGATGGGTTTTGCTTGTGTTGTTTGTTGGCTCTAAATCACCATAAATAAATTGCTATCACTTGATCAGAGAGAAGAGGGGGAGATCATCAAAATGCATAATATAATAAAACATAAACATGAATAGCAAACAATAGCGCATACCAAGCGACAGTGATTATTTCAAGTGTCATAATTGACCAGAAAACAACAATGAGCAGACAAGTGCTATTACTCATGATAAGAGCACCAGATTATTTATAAGAAATTCACTTATCCAACAATATAAAATAAAACAACAACTAAGAGAGAATGTTGTAACAGTGCATTTTTAATGCTCTTTCCCATAAACAAAGTAGGTGGCAAAAGTAGTTATCTTGTCAAAAATGTTTCACTCTTTTATTTAAAAAAAAGGTCTAGGCTTCCAACTCGAAAGAAATATTTTTATGCACTTATATACGCTTTTTAAGCTTATTCTCACACTGGGAGGACCACCTTTGTGAACTTAAAATTTTATTGAAATAAAAACTACAAATTAAAAAAAAAAAAAAAAAAAAATTTTAAAATTTTTTTTTTAATTTTTTTTTTTTTTTTTTTTCATTTCATTTTTAGGTTGCCGTGAAACAGGTTTCATTTATGCCATAACCAGCGCAGCTGTAACGCATTCTGTTGCGCGTGCTTGCAGTGAAGGTTCGATTGAATCGTGCACCTGCGATTATAGTCATCAATCGCGTTCGCCTCAAACCAGTGCTCAGGCTGGTAGTGTGGCGGGTGTACGCGATTGGGAATGGGGTGGCTGTTCCGATAATATCGGTTTTGGTTTTAAATTTTCCCGCGAATTTGTTGATACTGGTGAACGTGGCCGTAATCTCAGAGAAAAAATGAATTTACATAATAATGAAGCGGGAAGAGCGGTGAGTATTAGATATTTGTAAAAATTACGCATAAAGCCGTTGTCAGCCATTTATAGAGAAAAAAGCCAATTTTTATAAAAAAACAACTAAGATTATAGTGGAAGCACCAGGAAGCACCATGCCTTACAGTTATTTACATCAGAGCTTTTCATAATAATGCTTTATATAAGAAGTATTCGAAAATGTGGTCCGCTCCGAACGATCCTTCAGTAGGATCCATGTCTGGTCCAAAGCATGTTTGTACACCAAATTTGATCAATGTATCCAGAAATTCGCCCTTTTAATGTTGAACATAATAATACAAGACGGAAACACGGACAGACAAACCTTAGAACGGTATAATAAAGGACGGATCCAAGTCATGTTCTTCTCGATGTTCTTTGCATCCGGACTAACTTAATATATTCTTGTGTCACGATTGGTGTAGGGTATTAAAACAAGCTAAAATTAATTAACTTAAATTAATTAGCACATAACTAAGACAATGGGTTAGTTTCCTATGTTCATAGGCTTATCGAGCACACTTCTATTAAGAATATTTGCAACATTTTTCAGAACTTTTTTTAAAAAGAGGCCTTAATTTTTTTTAATGCGAGGGTCTATCATTGACCTTAATAATGCATTTGACTCTTGTGTCGCTGAATGCATTAAGCTTATGCTAACGACTTAAAACAAACAGCTCCAACAGACCCATCGATTCTAAATTGTGTTTTGAAATCGATCTCCCTTAGCACACATACACATCATACACATTTAAGGTTCGCTAGGCCATCGAATTTTTTTTCTAGAGAGCTTCCACTATCAAGACTTACGTAATTATTGTTGCATATTTTGGCAAAAAAAGTAATATTTTTTCTAGTTTATGAAATATGAAATAATTTGTACTTAATTGATATAAGATAAGTAAAATTTTTCTATAAACTTTGCAATAAGTCGCTTATTATGTTATGTTATGTTTTTCGCTTTTATAATATGTAAAATTGTGTAAAAAAGTGCAAAAAAAAAACAAACAGGAATTTCATATAAAAACGTTTTATTGTCTTATAAATCATTTGCAAGCACTTGAAAATAATTTGCGAAATTGTCTTTTGCTGCCTTCCTTCTTTTCATTTTTCCTTTTTTTAATTTCTCATCATTGCAAACGATGATTGGATCATAAAATATGCAGATAACTAATAACTATTAGGGAAACATTATTGACATTGTGTGTGATCCTCATTAATTACGCAAACATTAAATTGCATTCACAGAAAATATTACTACAAATATATGTGTTAGGTTGGCGGGAAAGTTCTCGCGTATTTTAAACATTAAAACATTTTAATTGGAAAATGTTTGATGGGTTCCTGAGCAGTCAAACGGTGAAAAAGCCCAGCACCTTTGCACTTGCAAAATGTTTGGATGAAGGTTACTCGTCAACATGGACTCAAATCTTCGGAAAGAGATTTTTCTCAACCTCAAGTGTTACCGTAAGCCTTCACAATCAATCAATGCGCTAACATCCTTTACGGAATTCATTCCGCAAACGCACTTAGCAACCGAAGGGTGTGAAGCGATATTAAACGTAATTCTTTTATATCCCATGAGATATACGCTGAATAATAAAACCAAATATGGCTCATTCTATGGACTTGTGTCTTGACCTAGAGGTAATAAAATACGCCAAAACTTTCCCCCCCAACCTATTAATTAATGTATATACATATCCGTTTACTTGCAAGTTTTTCTTTTACTTATAAAACTACAAAATTTCAATAAGAATTTTATTATATTTATTGCCCATGTAAGCCTTGCCTGATTGAGTAGCAATCTATTAAATATTTACATGTATTCGAAAAGAAAAGTTGTTAAAAAAATGTTTTTCTAATAAGCATTTGGAGAATTGCAAGAGAATAGTAAAGAGAAAAGGAAAAAAATGAAGAAGAAGAATTGAAACTTATATTATACCACCACCGCCCCAATCTGTAAATGAAAGAAAAGTTTCATGCTGTTTAGTGTATGGTTAATATATTAAAATCGATGACAGCTTTTACTGTGATATACATTTCGACAATAAGGCAGAGAGTAAGGCATATGTTAATGTTCATTGTTGTTGTTGTTGTTGTTAAGCACAATTAAAACGATGCAAAAAATTCTTTCTAGCAGTTAGTATGAGATCAAGAGAAATTAAAGCCTATAAATTTGCTGCTAATCCTCAGTGCTCTGAAAGCACAAATTTGAATTTTTATTACAAACATGCAGCACATTCTCACTAACATCGCTATACCACCAACATACCTCAATCGATATCATCATTATTATCATCGTCATCGTCATCGTCGTCCAGGTTTATTAAGAGTTTCTTAAAAGAGGTTTTATCTGCAGCTAAAGCAATTAATATACTGTTGAGCTCCTATTTTATGCGTTACAGTTTTCATAATGCTTTACAATTGCAAAGAAAAAGCAATAACAACAACAACAACAACAACAATAGGAATAATGAAAAAAAATTAAGTCGTTGCTGTGTATGCCTCAAGTAAATGTTATCGTGTGTTATATTAGCGGCAGTAACAACAGCAGCAGCAACCTCCTCTTGTTTGTTAAGCTTAATGCTTTCTGCATGATGCTGTATTATTGTAATAATATCAACAACATCAATATAAAAAACTGACCTCATGCTGCGTAAAGGCTTTCGATACACACATATAAAGTGTATACAACACAGTACAGGGTACAACATAAAGCACCCATACGTTTATATAACTTTATTATTATTATTATTATTATTATTATTATGATTGTTACCATTCTTGTTATTATTGTTGTTGTTGTTGTTGTTCCTGCATTTCTCGATATATTCGAACATTTATTGGTTTTTAATAATGTTTCAAATGTATAGCAATTCATTGTTGCTGTTCATGTTGTTGTTTTAATGCCGTGTTATATATGTAAGCAAGTAAATATGCATGTATGCGCGTACATACATACATACATATCTCTCTTTACACAATACATTGAGTGCATGATAATCAAGATCATGTTGATTATGCCTCATACTTTTTAAGTCTTACGATTATGCTGTCTGTCTGTCCGTCTGTCCGTCCGTCCATTTCGTTGTACAATCAATATGTCCATTCAGTCTGTCCGGCATTTACTCGTAAGTTCATTGCTGGCATTCACTTCAAATCGAACCTACCTGATCGTTGTGAAGCAAAATAATTAAGTGGAAAACACATTAATGCACAGAAGGGTGGCTCTTAATACGCCATAAAATGTCAAAAATGCAAAGCTCATAAATTATTTGCAACGTTAAATGAAAATATGCTTACTCGCTTGGGCGATTGAGTTGACTGCCCGTCTGCCCGTCTGACCATTGCTTTTATATCTTTATACGCGTATGCTTACTGACTTTACATTTACTTGCTAATGAAGCTATTCTTAAGGTTTTACTGCTCTCTCGCTTAACATATTTTACTAATTTTTCTTTTGTTTTGTTTTTCTTTGTTTCTTTTCTTATGTTCTTGTTTTTTTTTTTTTCTTTTCTTTTTTTTCTTTTACTTTTATTAATGCAGCACGTTCAGTCTGAAATGCGTCAGGAATGCAAATGTCATGGCATGTCCGGTTCATGTACGGTAAAAACATGCTGGATGCGTTTAGCGAACTTCCGTGTTATTGGTGATAATCTTAAAGATCGTTTCGATGGTGCTTCTCGTGTTATGATGACCAACAGTATACGTCCCAGCGGTAGCGCTAATACAATAGCTAACGTTAGTCCAAACGCAGTCGGTATTACAACGGCACTATCGCCGAATGCTGTCATACCAAATAATTATGATACGGATCGTATGTTAAACGATGAGCAACCTATTAAACATCATCCTAATATGGCCTCACCGAACAGTCTACCCAATCCGCATAGTATTTCAAGGAATTCAATAAGAGGCCGTCAAAGACAAGGCAAAAAGAATAACAGGTGAGTTTAGAGAAAATATTTTAAATCAGTTTATAAAAAAAAAAAAAAAA